CGAAAGCTGCATATTCACTGCCATCAGTGGCCACTTGGTCGACGAGCCAACACCTGAAGACTGCCAGCAGGGTGCTGCCACGATATTGTTTGGCAAGGCGCCGGGCCTGCCACATTCGAGTAGCAATCGATGGGACAGTACCAAGGCTAGTGCGTGGTCTATTGGTTTTCGGAAAATGGACTAGACACAAGGCACGAAGGTGCTGTTCAAGGGGGTGTGTATGGTGATGCTGACACGTCTGAATCGCCTGAGTGGCATCATGTCGAAACTCAAGCCATTGAGATGTTTGCTGAATGCAGGCCTGACGAAGATGGAACCGATTAATCGGATCAGCGGTCTGGCGGTTGATCCGGGATGGGTACCATTTCGGAATACAAAGACCAAGAATAAGAAGTCTATGGTGAGGACCTGTAACCCCAAAATTCCTTTCAAAATCATGAACCACGTACGAATGCATGTTGGATCGACGCTAGGCACGGCGAATGAACATGAAATCAATCCGAGTGGCATGATCCCCATGGAGGAATGTGGGAGTCCAGGGTCCAAGGCATGGCATAGCAATCAGCTGAAGTTCCTGAACCATCTGCTGTAGTACTTGTTTGTCGGTCTGAGCAGCGCGAGGATATTTGGGGTCGGACATATGGGGAACATTGTTGCAGGGGTGAGTTGAAGTCTCCTGCAAGAAGGACAAAATGACTGTTCGGGATGTGTTGCATGCACTGTTGAATCTTCTTCCAAACCAAAGCTTGTCGCTGGCAGAGGGCCTGTGTTCCACGGCCAGGATTCCAGCTATGCTGGTAAACTGCTAGCAGGTCATACGCCTTGTGAAGATGAAGTCTCACCTGAAGTAGGCGTCCGGGGATGTGAACTGCTGTGGACAACCGTGTACAGGACACAAGTGAGGTTCTCAACATGATTAAAATGGAAGCATGCTTATCCGAACTGTGCACGAAATGCCAATTAGGTGTTGACCACTCACCACTAAATGACCATCCCGTTTCTTGCACAATCAAGCAATCATATCGACTCTGAGTGCACTAGACTTGAAGCTCAGGATACAGCAGGTTCTTGGATGCGTTCCAGCTCAGAATGTGCATATGAGACGGATCTGTCACCTGAGTCTGCGGTGCAGAGGCAGCTCGTGGCTGTTTGTGCTGCTGTTGGGTCATCCAAGCATGACGAAATCTCCATGGGACATCTTTGGGGTATATTGTGTGACCCTTGTATTGAGCGGCTCCATGGGAAAGGCAACGGTAGCAAGCTCTGACATATGCTCGCTTGACTCTTTTGATACGGGATTTGGACTGTATTGGACCGAGATCCGCTAAGGCCCAAGCCTCGTGTTACTTCGCGGCTGACATGTCAACTAGACTAAATCCTATGCCGCTCCCAATCTCCTCCGAGGCAAGGAGATTAACCCTCACGCCCAGTGCTGCTGGCTGAATCCAAGGATCGAGAATGGCAGTACTGTCCGGACTTGGGACCGGAAACCCCAGCTCGTGTAGTATGAGGAAGTAGAGGCCGAGTACGAAAACATACATGAAAGAACCAGGATGTGCAACGAGGATCGAAATGGCTGGCTCCCCGGGCTATCCGCGGCCGTCTGAGCTGGAGTGGCGCTTTCATCAAAACATATTGAACAACATTTAGAATGTTCAACACTTACAACAATAATCAATAGTTATATAAACAAACAATCAACATTATCAAAATACACGGCATTGTATTGTGAACAGCGATTCTCAAATCCTATCTTCTCAACATCTTTCTTCTCAAAACGATCTAATTCCAAAGCTTTCATTTGCAAAGCTTTCTTTTTCAAGCTACTCTTCTTTCCAAATATTGCCTTCTCTATCCTTCTCTACCTTCACTTCTCGCCCAACAAAATCGCTTCTGGGACTTATGAAACAAATCAAGTTTCCCAAGTCTTCTCAAACCTTTCTTCCGAAGAAGTCTTCTTTGTGTGTCTTACAAAGGAAGCGGTCTCATAGTGAACTCTGAAATCTTCTTTCGATTCCTGAATGCAACCTACCATCTCCATATGAGAGGCCATAGCTATTAGGTTGGAGGCTATCGCTCTTAGGTGAGAGGCCATCGCTATTAGCCGGTTCAGCCGGTCCGCCAAGTGAAAGAGACAGATCCGAACCTTTCTTCTAGAAGCTTGCGAACGGTTGATATTCAAGACGTTTTGAGCCCCTCACGCCATCCAAAGGTGAAAACCTCGGCATCTTGTTGCCGATGTCAATCTTGTGCTAGAAATATCTGGGAAATTCCTGTCACACCGAATTGCCTTTGGCAATCTGTGAGCGATCTTGCCTTAGGCAGGAGACCAAATTTTGGGTTTCTTGAGCTGGCCCTCTCGCCCAGCGCTGGCTGCAAACCACTACATACGTGAGCAGCTGGTACAAATCGGTACCGGTTTTAAACGACCTGAAGCTGCTCTCACTCGAAGCTAAACATTCCACTTCGCTCATCACCTGTTCAAGACTCGAAACAGTTCGACGAGACTGTTTGCTGCGTTCAGCGCGCCTAAGGGCCGCGAACAACAAACACGGCCATATCATCCAGTTGAACGGGAACACGAGGAATGACCTGTGCACCGATTTTGGACATGCGGAGACCTATCAACCCATCTCCATACATCGCAATCATTTCATTCCATGCTGGAGGTTTCATCGCTGAACGAGTCGCTTGGCATCGGAGTCACCACCAAGAATGGAGTTCGTGGTGCTTGAGGAGACTTGCCTAGCGAGAATCGGTAGGTTGTTGAAAACATACGTGACATATCGTGACATGTCGCATATATGACATACAAACAAAGTAGATTGAGGTCTTGACGCTGACTCAGCACTGGTGCTGACGGTGCTGACGCTTGTTTCATTAACGGAGGTGTCAGCATTGGTGCTGCTACTGGTGTTCAATTCCGGAGGCAGAGTGGTGCTTGATGTGCTTGGTGATTTACTCGAAGTGCTGCTCTGTGTACCACTCATGGAACTCCTTGGATTCAAGATGCGATGCATGCGAGCGAAAGTAAGAAATAGCTGGCTCAACCGAAGTGTATACTCTCTGGAAAAATAAATATTACTTTCGCTTGCTAAGTTCCACAGTGATGTTGAGGTGTCGCCAGATGTTGTCTCAGTCTGAAGGTATTGCACCACCACCTCTGCGGATGAGCCATCAACTGCCGATAAATTGCCCGTCACGACGGACAAACTCGGTGCACCGAGGGCGCTTGCTGCTTCTCCAAGAAAAATTGTGTTGCTTGATAAACTTGACAAGCTCAACGCTGCTGAGCCAACTCCGGAATCGTCCGATGTCATACTGAGTTCCAATGTAACTACACCAGTAGCCTCGGCCAAACGACGTCCTGCAGAGCCACCTACAACTGTAATCGCAATAGCTCCTGGAGGAAGCTGTGATGCATTTGAGACAGCTCTTGCGAGGGAATCCTCTGCTGTCAAGTCAAAGCCTCGCGTGAGTCCTTCTAAACGCAGGGTTTGCCGAAGACCCACGACATGCAACGTGCAGTCTTTTAAGGGCAAACCAGAGCCGTGCAAGTACGGTGGGGGGCCATCGTGCGATCGAGATGTGCGATATTGCCGGCAGCCTTCAGCGGAGCTGTAAACGCAGGAGCTAATCCGAAAGTGTGGCTGGATGGCCCATTCATCACCCTTCTTGCAATCCCGATGAAATGCAGACAGAAGGTCCACATCATTCTCAACATACAAGAGGTATGTAGGCGGCGCATCTACCCTTGGCACATCTTGGCACAGAATCTGAGTTTGAAATTCAGATGCGTGTCTCTATCCCACATGACACCCTGATCTAATCAAGAGTCTGATTGACAACTGAGAAGAAAGAACTGTAGTTGGAGGGAAAGGCTGCTGGAGCTCTTGCTCGAAGCTCGACAAAATATTCGTCTCCTGCCTGCCACACAAAGCACAATGTCTTTTTGAATTCTTTTCCCTTAAGTCTTCAAACAAACACCGTCTTGAGCCTCGATGGATGAAGGCACTTCCCACGTGAAAGTGCCGGCTGCTGCATTTGCAAAGCCTGGCCGCAAGAAAAATCATTCGAAGGGACATGACATCACATTGACTTCGAACTGATTGATTGACGTGCAAATGGCACTGCGATGCCCAGCAGGGCGGCCTAGATGGATATCCGAGGCAGCTTCACCAGGGCAAGAGCTCCTCTGCCACAAATGGAAGTCCTTCGGAATTCGCTTCCGCTTCAAGGCTTCACGAGAACACAAAGGACGCTAGTACCAAATGCACATCGCTGCTAGTAACAAGGGCATCACTACTAGTAACTAGAAGCTACTAGTAAAGAATGCAATGCTACTAGCAACAAGGGCATTACTACTAGTAGCTAGAAACTACCAGTAACAAGTACATTGCTACCAGTAACAAGGGCATTACTACTAGTAACTAGAAGCTACTAGTAACAAGTGCAACACTACTAGTAACACGGGCATTACTACTAGTAGCTAGAAACTACTAGAAACAAGTGCATCGCTACCAGTAACAAGGGCAATACTACTAGTCACTAGAAGCTACTAGTAACAAGTGCAACACTACTAGTAACAAGTGCATTAATACTAGTAACAAGAGCATTACTACTAGTAACAGAAGCTACTAGTAACAAGTGCATCGCTACTAGTAGCAAGGTCATCACTACTAGTAACTAGAAACTACTAGTAACGAGTGCATTGCTACTACTACTACTACTACTACTAGCAAGAAACTACTGGTAACAAGTACATCGCTACCAGTAACAAGGGCATTACTACTAGTACTAGAAGCTACTAGAAACAAGGGCATCGGTACTAGTAACAAGTACATTACAACCAGTAGCTAGAAGCTACTAGTAACAAAGAAGAAATAAAGAAACAGTGTCTTCCGCTTCAGGCTTCAAGGCTGCGCCAGAACACAGCGTGTGTGATGCTTGACCATTCACATGTTGCTCGATTGCGGCCACAATTCTTCGATTCAAAACCCACAATGCTGTTTCAATATGTTTCAATGACTCCTCAAAAAGAGTTACTTACAAAAAGAGTCTCTTACATGTGCAGCACATACAATAATTGTTATATACATGTATGTCGCAAACTTGTCACACAGGTTTCAAACATACGCTGTTGCATTCTGTTTTTGTGAGCGGGCAAATGAAAAACCGAAGCGCACACGTCAGCGCCTCTTTCTTGAGCCAAACGTTGAACGATGCGGAATGTTCATCGCGTTTCGTCCTTTCGAAAACACGGGATGTGAAAAGGCATTTCTATGCCCGCACTCCCCCAATGATGGATAACCATCATTCCTCAGGGCATTTTCATGCCAACTTCTCAAAACTACCATCCGACTGGGAGTCTTCCTCCAGCTTCACAGCGGGTGTGGTGGGTCTTTGACCCACATAGGTTGAAATTCCTATCCATTCAGGCCAAGCGTCGGCTTCAGCAGGATGGAGTCCTTCGGTGCGAAGAGAATGCTCCCAAGCCTTCTCCACATCATCCACGGGGGCCTCACCTCGAGCTCGATGTCCCTGAAGCCGCTCTGCATAGCCGGCGCTGAGGACACCATCGGAGGAGGCAGTGCCACAGGCAGTGATTGCAGATCCATCATAGGCCACTGTGGACCCCCTCACTGTCTTCTCTCCCACAGGCAGCTCCACACTCCTTCCCCGTTCCAAAGCACGGGACCGAGTTGAAGAGGTGTTCCCATAGCCCCGGTCAGCCTGTGCAATGCTTCCCGGAGGAGGCTGCGGTCCTGGAGCCAATCCGCAATTGGGATCAAGTTGAGCCCCTTCCATAGCGCCCACGAAGCGGACATAGAAAAAAGCATACCCTATCCACTCATAGACGCCCTCAATGTCACATTTCCTCGATGTGGTCCAATCGTCCATCAGGACCTGCCTTCGCCAGGCTTCTCGAGTGGAGCCTCGATGAAATGCAACAGTCACTCTGGTAGGTGACATCCTCGAAATCTGAAAAGGGGTGCCACGGTGCAGTGGGTGGAATGATCTCACCCTGCTCTTCTTGAGAACACGGACCCACCATTCTCCAGCACCATCGCCTGATCCCAGGCATTCCCATCGATCTGCTCCAGTAGGAGGTGTCGTGAACCTCCCGAGGACCCACGGCGTGTCTGTGCCCAATCCTCGGTGTGCAATTGGCGCCTTCATGGCGCAGAGCCGCGGAGCTTGGTTCCATGGCTTCAAGGTCGATCCATCGGCCAAGGTGCCAAAGTGGCAACGGTCGTCGGCTGTCGAGCGAACGGCGTTCGAATCCTGACCTCCCCTACGTGGGCTGGGTTCATCTTCCCTCAGCCATCTTGAATCTTTCTTGACCTTCTCAGTCCTACTTGGGGTGGGTTCATCTTCCCTCACCCATCTTGACAGTTTCTTGACATGGGATGCGTTAGACCTCTTTTTCGACTGGCCTGTCGCCGTCGTGAATGCATTCAAAGCTACCGTTGCAGCCGCTACCAAACCCAGGAGCGAGGCCAACTTCACCGCTCCCCCCAAACCAGGCACAGCTGCCAGCAGGCCCAAAGATGCCATCGCAGCGCAAGCTACCTTCTTGGCCCTCGACGTGCCCACCTCATTGGAGACAGATGCTGCAGCAGCACGAAGACCAACCGAACGACGAAAGGCGTCCCACGATTGAGACTGTGTGATGGACTTGGTCAAAAGGTCGGCACACAACTCCGTGCCAGGCACATGCTCCACACTCCAGAGGTGGTGCTTGAGGCGCTCACGCAGGACATGACTCCTCAGCCGAAGATGCCGGGTGCGCCACGGACCTGACGGTGCCTGAAGGAGCTGCAAGCCCGAGAGATTCTCTCCTCTCAGGACGTACGAACCTTCACGGTCCAGGATGTTCTCCTGCAAGACATTCACAACTGCTCCAACGCTTTCCCCCAATGTGAGGCCATCAATGTAGCCGAGCAACTCACTCTCTGTGGTGCTGAGGGTTGCAAATGCCTGAGCCTTTGACTCCCAAGCCACCAAGCACCCTCCCCACATAGCCATGATTCCCTGGTGACCCCTGCCACCAGTAGGAGCAAAAGATGAATCGGTCAGCACTTCCAGACGGTTCAAGTTGTGCACCCGTCCATACTGGTCACAGCAGTCCGGGCACGGACCATACTCCAGGGCGAAGTCCAGGGTTGATGCCACATAGCCCAACACATGATCAGCAAGGATCAACACCCCCTTTGGAGACTTTGTCACTCGCGCCCCCAGGTACGACACGGCAAAGCTCAAGTCCGGCCTTGTCCTGGTAGACAGCCATAACAGTTCTCCGATCACAGTTTGGCAGCGCTTCACATCCTCCGGGTTGATGGTCTCCTCCATGTCCAACTCAATCACCTTCGGAAGTGGAGAGCTCCTCAACGGGACATCCGAGTGGCGAGCGACTATCTCCCGAGCATAGTCAGGCTGGCCAATGAGCAAGCTGCTGCCGTCCCACTTCATCTCCACTCCACAAAATTTTCGCCATTCCGATTCCACCACCCAAGTAGGAGGAGCACATTTCCAGGTGGCCGCCAACTTGGACAAAAACGCTTGTGCCACCAATCGATCACCCATCACGATGAAATCATCCACATAGGATAAGGCGAAGCCCACCGCCTTGCCCTCCTCCATGACATTCACATAGTAGTCCGTCTCCTCGCCGTCAGCAGACATCAACCTCCAGACATTAGGCTCTGGTGTGGCATGAATCCGATAATGCCTGCCGCTCTCCCACCACCTCATTCCTCGGAGCACTTCATCACGATAGGACTGCCAGTCAGCCGGGGAACTGTCCAAACCATAGACCGCAGCTTCCACGATCCACCGGGTGTCCTTGGAGAGGATTCCTGCTTCAGTCAGGATGGATGGAGGCTTGGTGACCATGAGACGCGAGGACTTTCTCGGTGCCAGGAGGAAAGCCGAGGACACGTCAGTAATGCCTATCGACCACTGCTCCTGAGCTGCCTTGCGGAGTGCACACCGCAGTGAACTTCCATCAATGCCACTTGCATACAGCTCAAAGGATTTTCCAGGCTGCCTCACTCCACCATCACCGCCTCCAGCATCATGACCACGGGAATGAGCATGGAGCTGAGCTGATGTGTCTTCGACAAGGTTCCCGCATAGGACTATGCGAGATCTTTTCTTGCCATCCGGTGCCTTCACCGTGGGAACCAATTTGGAGGGAACCACCAACATCTCGTTGTAGCCCGGCTCCTCCTTCAGGTCTTGAACTTGGATAGGGCGCACTGCCCTGGTGGTTTTCTCAAGAGAGTTCACCTCATACTCGAGCGACGGAATCCAGTCCTTCAGTTCTCGTCGAACTTGTGCGAGTGGGACGGTATACGTCTGAAGGACGGCATGCACCCCCAGACGATCATCCGACCCCTCCTTCACCTCCAAGTGCTGTTCAGCGGTCATCGAAGCCAACTGGTGAGTCACAGCACAATCTCGAATCTCCGTGAGGTCCTCCTCCAAGGCCTGGACATTCTTTTCCAAGTAGTCCATCATAGCTCCTTGCAGTTGACCCTCCACATCGCCAACCGCCACCTCCTTCAACATGTCGCGCCAGAGCTGTTTCCAGCCCCAATGCTCTTCTTCCAACCTTTGAGTCAACTTCAGGGCCTTCTGCATGTCATACTCCATGGTCCCATCGATTGGTGGTTCACCAGGTTCATCCATTGGAGTCTCACAGAATTCACATTGTCGAGGGAGTTCAAGGCGTTTGAACGACGGCTGCGCCATTTGCAGTCCACACTCCTTGCAAACCAATGCCCTTCCTCCACCATTGACCTTCACATGCGCCCCTAGTGGCATAGAAAGCTGCAAAGACTCCCCCCCAGTCCGACCTTGGTGTAGGACTGGCTCTCCAGCTGAGTTGCACCTGACGGTGTATAGTCCAGGATCATCAGAAAGCCGCGGTGGGGGAAGTTGAGGAAGCATCGGTTCCATTGGCTGCTTACCCACCATTCGTTTTTGAGGTCGTTCTGGATCCTGGACAGCTTGCAGTTCAAGAACAGCCCGTTCAGCAGTTGGATCCGTCTGGACCGCCACCCGAGCATGTTGCACATGACCGCTGTCAAAAAGCACATAGCCCTGAGACATAAATGGTGAGGGACCCATCAAAGTCATAGTGCGAAAGGGCGGTGTCAAAGGTCCAAACCCTGCTCTATGCCAGCGCTTGGTCTTCACTGTAACCCTCCCCCCAATCGGCAGCAACGGGGCACTAGGAACACCGAGATGAGCACATTGGCGCCTCAGCCTCTCCTCTCCAACATAGCGTGCAATGCCCGGCCACCACCTTTCTTCCAGGCCACTTTCCTTGATGAGCAACCTGAGTCGTCTCTTCACCTGGTGCACCTCCGCCTCAATGCGGCCATTTGAAGGTCCTTCATCTCCTCCTGTCATAGTTTGGTGCATTCCAAAACGTCGGCAGAATGCTTGGAAACTCCTGGACAGGAAAGCACACTCTCTGTCTGTATGAACTCTAAGCATCTTCACGCCCATCGCCTTGAAGCGGCAGTAGATGCGAGTTGCCACCTTGGTGACATCAACCTGTGACCGGCTTTCAAGCGGCTCCACCACGGTGACATTCTGAACTCCAACTGGTGCGCTCAGGTCCTTGATGTGTTCCTTCCAGGCAGCGTTGAGGTTCTCCACCTGCTCATCCAACACCTCCGCCTGCTCCGGATCATCGTCTTCCTGTGCACCTTCTCCATCTCCAATAGGAAGAAGTTCACCCTCCTCCCCATCCAATTCCTCCATCTCCTTGAGCTCTTCATGCTCTCGAGGCAATCGTGGAATGGCCACAGTCGCCACCATCATGTACTTGGCTTTCGAACCAAGACCCAAATCATCTCCAACCGGCATTGGTCCCACAATGTCATACGACAAGCAGTGAGCTGCCCTGTCCCCCATAGTTCGTCGATGTGGAACGTCGGAGCCCATCATCTCCATGCATCGGCGGCAGTCCCTGCGAAAAGGCTGCTGTTGGTTCCTCACATGAGCCTTCCATCCTTCCATGTCCAAGCGGCATACTGCTGCTTCTCGATTTTGTGGACCACCTCCTTGAGCATCCAGTCGCTGCACATATCTCTTCAGACTCTCTTGGATAGCAGCTACCAGCCCAGGGGCCCATGCCGACCATCCTCTCGATTGGATGAGTCGTCCTTGTAGTGAACCTGCAACTTCCTGACCGGTGCCATCCCCCGAAATGCCTTGAAGCTCGAGCATATCCGGCAAGTTGGCCACCATCAATGTTGTAGGCTTCCGCTTGATATGACCAATCGGTCCTTGATCCAGGGTGACAAAGCTGGCTTTCATGAGTTGTGCTAGGTCATTCACCTCACGGAAGTTCCAGTACGATGCCATGTCCTGCTCCAGTGCCTCCTGCTGCATGTAGGAGACCGGGTCACGAGGTGATTCCATCAGAAAGGCCGGCGGCACACGGCAGGGGTTCTCTGCATTCTCAACCTGGTTCATCGCCTCGCTAGCCATGATCCAGAGTCCTGCTTGTTTCAACAGCAGTGCCAAGTCACCGACAACAAGGTCCTTCTCCACGGATGAAAGGCCAGGTAGACCAAATCTTCGTTCATCCCTCCCCCTCACTGGGCGTGGTCCTGGGCCTCGATGACGTAGTCGTGACACACTCCGGCATGGGGGTCCTCCAAGCACCGCCACCACTTTTCCTCTTCGTGCAAGATGACAGAGGTAGCTCCAGGTGCCAATGGAGTGCATATCATATTGTGCTCCGTTGACGATGTCCACGTTGATGATCTCATAGCCATGCCAGTCCATGTTTAGCCAAGACTGGGAATCCCTCCCACTGTAGAGGTGCAGGATGACCCCTTTTGACCTGTCATGCCTCCTCCTCTGGTGCCGATTCCACGGACAAACATTGGGGTCAAATGAGGTCTGCCCCTTCATATAGGTCCAAGTTTCTTCAGGAACATCAGGAAACCTCTCAGTCCACCACGACTTGATGTCTTCATCAATCATCAACTCCCCCCGATCAGCCTTCTCCATCACGTCCAGCAATGCGAGGGCCTGACGTTCAGGTAGGACTGGACATCCACCTCTCAGGGTGCACTCAATGCGGCCATGTTCGGGATGGGAGATCTTGACACCTCCCTTTGACCAGTTCAGCCGATATCCCAATCCCACCAGTCGATGTAGCGGAACGATCACCTCCACCTTTTCCTTCGACAACAGAGTTCGATGCTCGTCGACCTTGTACAAGGTGGCCGATCCTGAAGCCAATTCTACCCGAACGGGGACCAGCTGCTACATCTCATGTGGATAGGCTTCTCTGAGCCCATTTGTTGCACCTCCGTCCAGGAGACCCACCGCCTCCTCATCAGCGCCAACCTTGTGCTTGAGCTCTTTCACCCGCAGCATCTTCATGCTCCTCAGTGTCTTGAGCAATGACGTGGCCTCCGACAACAACTCAGCGGTTGCATCCTTTGCCACAGGCTTCTCCGGGGAGTCCAGTTGTTTGGGCACTGTAGTCATAGGGACATTCACATTCTCATCAGTTGGTTCATCACCAGGAGAGCCCCCCTTGACATTCTTTTCAAGCCCATTCACCTTCTCCCCTTCCTTCACAGTCTTCACCTTGGAGACCTTCTTGGCGTCCGGCTTCACACCCTTCGGCCCATTTGGACAGTCCTTCTTCATGTGAAGTCCTCCACAATTGAAGCAGCGACCCTTCATGTCCACATTTTCATGGGCGTAGGTGCAACTGCTGCCACGCTTACAACCCTCATCACTCTTCCAGAACTTGCAGGCCAGTTTCTGCGAAGGTCGATCATCGGAGTCCACCGCCCCGAACGCTGATGCCATGGCCTTCACAGAAGTGGTCGGCTGAGTTCCTGCTGCTCCAGCATTGGTGGTCGCCGGCTGCAACTTCATAGGTGTAGTCAGCGAAACTTCTTCCACCTCCGCCTGCACATACTCCGAGAGCTCCATGACAGCTTCCACTGTAGCTGCATAATCAACTCTCAATTCTTGCCGCACGTTGGCAATTCGAAATGCCATTTGAGCTCCGCCTGATTTGGTGGCGCTCTCAATCATGCGTTGCACAGTGACCATGAGAACCACAGGGTCAGGTAGAGCAAGGTTGAGCTCTTGTGCACGCGCAAGCCATCGTCGCCACAACCGGACCTGCGTCAACAACTCCGATGTTTGAGTGGCAAACTTCGTCTCCACTAAATTTTTGAGGAGTTGCGTTTTTTCAGCGCCTCCTCCTGGCTGGTATGTCACATGCAGCTTGTACAGGATGTAGACGACCGAGAGCTGCCGTCCACTGACGAGGTCACGTCGGAGCTGATCCGGCCATGGCGATGCCACGCTGTTCAATCCTCTGTAGGGCAGGTTCCACCACCACCACCGGCTTCGCTCTCAGGCGCTCCAATGGACTCATCGTCAACCAGCGAGCATAGTGGTCCTGCGCAATGGTCAGCGATTCCTCCCACCAGGCCTTGGCACTATTTGAGATGTCAGCCATCAGCGGGAAGCTCATCGTCAGCCAGTCTCCAAACAGGATAGATGCCCCCTCGGAGTTGGGTGATGGCAAGGGAGGAAGTTCCAAGTTCCTCAGGGCTTCAGCCATTGCTGCCGGAGTCGCTGCACCACCAACACGAACGACCTTCGAACCCAGATCCGGTCCTCGGTCCTTACCACCCAGGTCACCATGATGAAGTCCAGGCGGTCGGTCAGGTCCAGCACAGGTCTCCGAGTCCACCCCTGTCTGAGGCCCACTTGAAGCAGTCTTGTAGGAGGTCGTGTCTGCAGGTTCCTTAGCAGCCAAGAGACGTTTGACCTCCCGATCAAAGTTCTCCTCCGCCTCTTTGAGGATGCGAGCTCTCAGGGCTTCCACATCCTCACGCACCGGCGATCCTGAAGCAGCTGCCGGCATAGCATTCCCATCAGCTATGACCCGCGGCACAGTTTCACCACCTGGTACTTGAAGGCGTCGAGAATCAGCTCCTCCAGATAGATCTCCACCCAAGCCCGAAGATGCCCTCCTCATCGTGTCCTGCAAAGCTGGGCTCCAAAAAGGGTTAGGCTCCTGAGGTCGCACCGGGGTTTGAGCTCCCCCGGAACCATAGTCCAGCATTCGAGGGTCAACCTGTGTCCGGCCATCTCCAAACAGCCCTCCATGAACAGGTTGATCGATGGGAGGTCCAAGAGGTCCTAATAGCCCTTGCCCTTGATGTTGCTGACCTAGTGCTTGCCGTAATACATGGTAAGTTTGTTGAACCGCATCATGAAGTGCCCCCAAGCCCCCACGAGGAAGATCATGCCCAGGGTCCACCGACAGCGGCCTAGCCGAATCCACCGGCTTCATAGACTTCAGAGATGAGGGATCCGTCGGCTCTCCCCCAGCAGCTGCAGTCCGCTCTCTCGATTCCTGTGATGAGCTTGGTCGAAGGGCCTTTGGTCGGCCTTGGGGTGTACTTGCCTCTGCCACAGATCTTCTCGGACCCGCGTCAGCCGACCTCGTTCGTCGCACCTCTTCTTCGATCAAGGCATCGAGTCTTCTGTCTGCCACCCCGATTTCCAGGGCTTCATCCTCTCGCCTTGCTGCTTCTGTTCTTCTCCTTCTCATTGTCGACAATGCCATGGCGCTCGAGTTGGGCTCATAACCTGTGAGCGGGCAAATGAAAAACCGAAGCGCACACGTCAGCGCCTCTTTCTTGAGCCAAACGTTGAACGATGCGGAATGTTCATCGCGTTTCGTCCTTTCGAAAACACGGGATGTGAAAAGGCATTTCTATGCCCGCAGTTTTATTCGGCACTGTGCTGTTGCGCTCAGTCCAGCAGGAGGTCAATTGGGAGCCGCTCGGGATCTCCCCAGCTCAATTTGTACCGCTTGCCCTTCACCAGGATGTCTCCTACGAAACAAGTAAAAGAAAAAGTGCACATAGACTATTCAAAACCCACTAGTCCATTAGCGGTGACAACTTACACCACTTCACCACTTCTCAAACTGCAAACGACAGAACCGCTTCAGCTTTGAATGCATCAATTACTGCTTCACCAAAGGCAAGACATGCCGCACACCACTTGACCAGTGACGACGCACTATTGCGGCGGAGTCAACCTGAAACGGAGTCTTCATTTTCTTCAAACTAGAAATTAAAACACAGGAGGAAAGGTAGGGGCAACTATTAGTTGCCTTATTAAAGGGGCAACTACAACTTCTTACCGCCCTTGCGGTTTCCTTTCGATGCTGCCCTCTCCTCGTGCTGGTTTCCACACTGCTGGTGGACCCAGAAAGCTATCTGGAGGAAGACCCCTCCCGGCAGAGTTTTGAGCAACACAGGCTGGGCGGCTGCCAGCAAGCCTGTCCAAGTAAGCGTGGACCTTGGAAGACGCTGGCAGCCCGCTGGCAAAGTTTTGTGGCTCTGGGGCACCAACAGCTGCTGCTGCAGGGGATGTAGCTGTGGCAGCGTCATAGTATTCTCGGTTGCCCCACTGACCATATTTGGACCAGAAACCGGTGTCCACAAAGTACATAAAAAGAGCATCGCCAAGCTCCTCGCGCCACCAGTTGGGATGGTGGAGTCAACCGACTGCAACGCAGGGCATCGGACTGCATCAGACTGCATCATTGGGTCGGTGAACTGCATCACATGTTCTTTGTACTTGTTCGACTACAACACATTTTCCGATCTGCTCCGTCCTCTCGGAACATGTCGAGCCAGGCTTCCACTGCTCCTTGGAAGGCTGCCGAGCGACCTGTGGCCATCAGCAGCTCAGTGATTGCACCGATGGCCTCAGCTCTGTCACCAAGCACCGCCAAGTAACGCGCTTTCCGGCACTCGCTAAGCGATGCCAACAAGATCCCACAAGTGAGAAGAATGGTTTTTTAGAGGCAACATGAGCCAACCACAGACTAAAAGGATCAATCCAAAGCAAACAAGAGGATCAATTTGTACGGTCTGATTTCTTTTTGCTTGTGAACTCTGCGCATCTTGGTGCAGGAGACATGCCATGCAGATCCCTTCCTGAACTCACCATACAGCCATGCCACTTGGCCAGTTTCGATGGTCCCATCCTCCACCAGTCCGACTCCTCCTTCATAGAAAGTAATGCCTGGCAGAAAGCCGCTGGACGAAGCGGTCGAAGCAGCTTGAGCTTGTGCTCGAGCACCCGGCCTAGACCAGCTGCATCTGCAATGGCCTTCTGTTCCTTGACCCAGCTTCGTGCAGATTCTTTCCCCGAAGTGAAGAGCTCAATCACTTCGGCAGGTGTTTTCGCAGAGTAACTTTGGTCAATTCCACCTCTAGGCATGCAGCACAAGGCATCCGGCAAAAGGATATGATTCGATCATATCTGATCTCTCTCTCTCTCTATTAGGTTGGAGGCCATCATTGGAGGCCATCACTTCTACGTTGGAGGCCATTATGCTTCTACGTTGGAGGCCATCGCTAGTAGGTTGGAGGCCATCGCTAGTAGGCTCGCTCCCTCTCTCTCTTTTTACAGGACCGGCGGGTCTGCCTTGCGGAGACATGTAACCAGTAATTCCCAAGAGATCTGCACCAGCTCCGCTATTAAGAGATAGCAGGTCGTTTGTGGCATCTCCCCAAACCTCAGCTGTTCATGTCAACTGCACAGGGCCTTCGGTCGTTTCCCTTTCCAAATTTGCCGACATGGTGCAGCCTGTGTGGAAATGACAAACTTCAAGCGACTTCGGCTCCCGCTGCTCCAAACATCTGCCCAAATGTCAAAGATCTGTTTTGAACGGTAGGCCTAGGCGCAGAACGGTCCTTCAGCCCTTTCCTATCTTTGTTCATCCGTCTTTGGGGCAAGAGGCATTGTATCGAACACGGCCACAGTGAGGCGTTCTGCACGTACCATCCACTAGGCCAAGCTCAGTCCCCTAGTGCATTCGGAGCATCTGCAGAACGCAGATCAAAACAATAGACACTTCAGGAGACATTATGAGATATCATGATATCATCTGACTTTCTGAATCTATCATAAGATAGAGCAAAGAGGCCGAGAACTCTATATCTACGCATATCATTCTTTGTCAGCTATTCCTTCCTTTGGTATTAAATATGCTATGATGGACTAGAGCGGACACATCATTCAAAGGGAATCTATAGGCTTAATTTTTCGTGATTGCGGAGCCGCCTTCTGAGTAGCATAGCGACCTTGTGGGAAGAGTGGATTCCAGACCTCATTGCTGTGCTCCACGTAGACCTGAACATCAGGTCGAAGATGCTGGAGCCAAAAGCTTGCTTCTTGTCGCACATAATCATCCGAAGCGAGGTGATGAACTGTGACCTCGGGTCGCAACACCGATCCGGACTTGTCGCTGAATGCAAATGGAAGCTTAGCATGCGCTGAGCAGCCCAAGGGGATGCTCCAAGAGTGTTTACTAAAAGGACCTGGTACTCCAGTGCTACTGGACCTGCAACAAGTGCACGTGAATCTTGCAAAACCACTCGAGCTGCTTTGGCTTCAGGCGCTGAACAAAGATTGGAACACACACACAGAACCCAACCAATCGCGCCTGTTGTCTGTGACCTGTGCGATGGTAAGACTCGATCCTTAGCCAACTTGTTTCTTGTTTCTTGGAAGTGCCTGCTGTTGACGTCAAGTCAAAGCGGGTTGGTGCAAACATCTGCGCTTTTCTGCGAGGCGAGAGCCTCGGTTTGGCAAACTTTTCGACAAGGCCTTCAGATTTGGAGGTAGTTCGGTGGAGATAAAGGTTAACGACGGCGACCAGTGCTCAGCTTGGCGTTCTCGCACGTGGATAACGAAGTCCTTTCTCGGCTTCGTTCAATCGGAGATCCCACAAGGCGAAGCGGCGCCCCGTGCGTTTGATCCAAACCAGTTGGTCCGTTAAAGGATTGGTTGAACGGTCCGAATTTCGAGCTACAGCTTCGTAAACTCCAGAAACTCCCCGTGAAACGGAATGCGGGACTTTGGCTACTCGCAGCAGTCTCGGTTGATCTTGAAGTCGGGATCCGAAGTTACAAGAACCGGAAGTCTTGGGTCGCTTCTTTCTGCATCTTTCCCGAAACTGCACCAATTGAAGTCGACTGTCAGAAGCACGTGTCAACAGTGCGAAGCCAGGTGACATGGAGTGCGAAGTGTCGAAGTAGGAACTGGACTTCGATCAACTTTCTCAGCTTACATGTGCTTCCCGGAAGTTGCCGCTTGGAAGCCACTGTGGCTTGGGAAAAACGAATTGTTTGGAAGGATGATTTGGAGACATGCCTGCGGCGCAAGTCATGGCCTCAAAAGCCGTCGAAGCAATGAAGCTAAACGCATCTAAACGCTAATCTGCCTTGCCGAATTTATGCTCAGTGCTATGAGCATGCTCCGATCCCTTCAGAGTTCGACGGCCCATGCTGGCTTCTCCGGCAAACTGTGCTGTATGGTTGTCAGCATACTGCGAAACAGCAGGATAGGATCGAGGTAGAAGCGTGCCACCATGCGTCACCGATTCGCGCCGCGTGCTTGCACTCAAGTCTTACAGGGTGCTGATAAAACTCCGATCTCAAATCACATGCCAGGATTCCGCCCATTCCCAGAGTTCGTTGGCTTTGCGCAGCGGATACCAGGAGTCCTCCTGGGCTGATAAAGCCCAAAACTCTTCAAGGAGATTCATCTGTGATACTGAGCTACTGCTGCGTGTAAACAAAATGCACTGTGAGGAAAAGAAAAGGATACGTCAAGCCTCAAACCTACTAGCCATGGTCTCCAACCTACTAGCAATGGCCTCCACCCTGATAGCGATAGCCATGTAACAAGAATGCTTTTGGAGCCATGTCATGCCATGTCGCATGGCTTCCCAATTCGAGTCCTCTGGGCTACCGAAGGAAGCGATCCGTCTGCGATAGTATGTGATTGGTTGGAGCGTGCTCCGCTCATCAGCCACGGTCCATGTTTGGTTGTCTTCAGACACTTCCAGCCGCCACATCACCTCTGGTTCTCCCACACCGACCTTGCAAAGACCTTGCCTTTGCGTTTGGCCTCAAGTTCAAACAACATGTCACGCCAATTGCAGCTATATCACAGGATCTACTCGGCGGTTCCAACCAGAAGTCATCCACATGTAGCTGCTGATAGCCGAACCTGGTAAAGAGTGCAGCTGTGCAGCTACTCTGGCTTTTTTTTTTGTGTGCTCTGGCTTTCTGGCTGTTTTGTGAGAGGTGTAGGCCTTCTGCAAGTTCAACGATCACGCTGTACTCAGTCGCTGCCAGAACTGGAACAGGCGCCTTTCTCGAGACAATGCCATGCCACAGCACGAATGTATTGAACATAGGATTTCCATGGTTTTACAAATTGGACATCCCAAAGTCAAACTTCCGGCTCGATCTTTTTTTGCAAATCTAATTTCCTTGCGGCTTGAAGTGTAAGCTCAAGGCCCAATCCGTGCCAGGGTCGCCATCACAAAGTTCCAGAACGCTGGACATGCAACCTGAAGTTGTTTTGATCTCAAGTTGCGAACAAGAATGACAGGTTGTTTCCGAGCTGCTCAGTAGTTCGCCCATTGATGTCTTCAGGAGAAGCTCTGACATCCTACCCATATGGCCCATCTTGTCTAAAAAGCCCAAACTGTGTACAGGCGGCAGCAAAACTGATCTCTCTTGCAACCAGAAAGTGCCTGGGTATACCGCCACCATGTGTAGCAGTAGAAGTGAAGCGCACATATCGAGCTGTGTAGGGCGTCCGTTTGATGAAGTGTTCCTCAAGGAGACCAGGCGACCGGAATTGACAAAGTACGATCTGACCAAAGCACCAAGGATCTGAATTGATGTGAGTCCAGTCCATCAAGCGTACAGTAGAGAAGCGCTCCAGGTTCTTCAGAAACCACGGATGAAACGGTTCCAACTCATGTGTCGCAAAGAAGCCTGAAAGGATCTGAAAAGGTCCACGGTGAAGCAACTTACACTGTACATGATGTATTAGCCTCACTGGCCTGGCATAATGATCCGAACGTTCCGCAACGGGTTGCTGGGGTTGACCCTTCGTATTGTGATGGCAATGCCATTATCGCTGCAGTAGGGGAGCCTCAGTGCCGGCTTCTTTCAACGGTAGACGTTCGAAGTTGAGCAAGTCGTACGATCAGAAGTCAAACACAAGTCGGCAAGCTGCCAGTTGGCTTTGTCGAACCAGCATTCGCGTCTGCATGTTGGCTGAAAGTCTACGTCAATACGGCCTGCCCAGCTGAAAGGCGAAGCAAGTTCTCTCCGAACTGAAAGGCTCGAAACAAGTTGTGTGCAAGCAAAAAAGACATTACCTCACAAATCCGTATATATAAAACGCATTGTAGCCCAAATACGCTTGCATCTTACCTGCTGTCTTCGGCACACAGGTACACACATCATCATCCTGGAGCATAGATGAGCGTAGCCTTTTTTGAATATTTTGTGTGTGCAGTACGTGTATACTATATAGTATGCATGTAGAAGATTGTAGAAGTATACATCTGTGGGAGGGGGCAATGGTCAAATCTTCAAAGTTGTCTAGCGCCATCTAGGGTTGACATCCGAAGGCACCTGCAAGGCCAAAGAAACATGCACACAAAAACACGCAAAGACTTTCCAACGGAAACCACATTGCAAACACTCATCACCCCAGTGCGCATTCCACACTCCCCCGAAATGAAACAGCCAATTTCGCTCCGCTTGAACTCGATCCTCGAATGTGACATGTGACTTGTGACGACAACTTGTGACTTGTGACGTGTGCGGGTTTGCGCCACCGGGGAACTTGCGCCTTTTTGAAATGCCACCGGGTTTGCGTCCATGGCAAAATCAATCTCACCATCTCCATCATAGGTCACCACGTAGCGACCATGGGGTGCATGAAGGCAAACATCTCGAAGCGCCAACGTGATCAAGGCCTGGTCCTCTCCAAGTGGAGAAACATATCACAAGATCTAGTAAATATCATGATGTATTCCTCTATATTACTCTTGTCCTTTTTCTTTATTCCGATGGAATACGGAATTAGTTCATGATTGGCTGTCCTGCTTCAAGGAAGCAACATAGCCATCAAAGGTCTCATTGATTTCCAAACCATTGCCCCACTCATATTGCCGGCTTGTCCACATCACACTTCCCCCCTGGTAGGAAAACTGCCCTGGTTGGGTGTCAGCATCCCAAATGCTGGTCCAATGGCGGGTCGTCTTCATAACATCCACAAAAGTGGAGGGTGTGGTGGCAACATTGATCCCGAAAGCCGCACCTTTGTGCGCCAGTAGATTGCCTAAGCAACATTCTCCCTTTTGACATCGTTCTCAAACACTTGTCAAAAAGAAGTCAGTGTAAATTCATACTTACTTCCATTACACGAAGAATCAACAAATGATTTTCTCTCGAGCTGCTGTCCAACGTGGAACAGTCTGTGCCATAATATCCTGCCCAGCAATGGCACTGGCCATCAATGCAAGTACCATATTGGCAAGCGGAGCATGCACTTTGACCTGAGAAGCGCCAACGATTTCTGTTTTTGCATCCATTCATCTTGGAAGAGAGTTTTCATTGTCGGCGCGCACGGCGCTGTCGGCCTGGACCAGTGCATCCCAGTGTATCCACAGTGCTGCAGTCCCACTCGCAGCCCACGGCTGATTTGCGCCAGCCTTGATCACAAATGCACTCCTTGGCAAAGCAATGCTATTGAATCTGGTTTCCCACACGCAGTCCCAAGCACATGTGGTTTAGACGGCCCTTGTGCATTCAGTCCCAAGCACGTTATTTGAATCACATTGGCCGTGATGCCCACATCCGCAGTCAATCTCACATTGGCTGCCCCTGTAGCCACGAAAGCCTCGGCACTTTGGGATGCCTTTGCACAGAATCTATTGATGCGATTATTTTCGAAAGGAGTGCTGAAATGCCATTGGCAAAGCCAAAAATTCCGAGAAAGGAGCAACTGCAAACGCTGCTGGCGATACAATGCCCACGTTGATTGCATCCATTAGGACAAGAGAATCTAGAGCACTTGCCACCGCTGTATTCTGCTCGGCAGTTGCATGCCCAGCTTCGCAAGTTGCCAATCACTTCCTCACAGCGGACATGCTACCATATGCTGCCATTCCCTGTTGCAATATACTCTATAATCATCTATAATCGCACATTGCAACCGGGCACAACCGTAATACGCCGTAAGCCTAAACCAAATCACCACTTGCCGCAAACACACCCCGTTAAACCTTGTCGATTGAGTTCGACTGGATTTTTGGTGTTACCTCAAGTGTAGCTTGTGGCCACATCAAGCAACACGAAAAGCACCTCCAATACAGCCAAACTCATTAGGTGTAAGTGCGGGCACAAACAGAGTCGGTGAGCGCAAGAGGAAAGAAAGTTCGACTGAAAAAATAACTTCGAACTTCTGAATTCGATCCCCTTGGGGATCCGTGTAGAAATTCTTATGTTCCTCTCTGTTCCGGTCTTCCACGTCTTTTCTTTCGAACGACCTCCTCGGTTTGGCACCTCTTACTGCCTGCCTTTGCCATACCCTCCATCCCAGCTACGGGTTGAGTGTTCGAAAGAAAACAATACCAACCTTCACTCCGTTTTTGTTTACACATTGCCAAGTTTCTGATACTTGGCAGATTCCCTGGTCGAACGTGCATCGATAGCCACAAGAGCTATAATCTGTAAATGATGCGTCTAGGCAAGTTGTTCCTGAAAACCCACGGTAACAGTAACATTGATCATCCACACCACAAAGCCCATTACCTGGTAGCGTGCACTGGACAGCAACTGACAGCAAGCAACATGTCAATGCTCTTTGTAGTCTGGGACTGGATGTGAGTAAACAACTTCCCGCCTGAGCAACCATCTGCAGCTTCACAATCCTGTCTTTCAACACTGCAAGATGGTGGCATTCCGCTAGACAAGAACTCCTGAACTGCTTGATATTTATAAGCGTCTTCTCTGGGCTGGTCCATGGCTTCAATCATTCCCCAGGAGCCATACTGTGAAGGCTTCCCGCAGCTTGCAAAATAGACCATGAGGTCCAGATCTTTGTTCAGCTCTTCCAAATAAGTACGAAGTATCTGCTTCATTCTTGGATTGCGGTGCGCTTGGATGGCAAGATCATTTGCACTTCCGTCTCCCTCTCCCGCAGGCCCAGATTCATAAGACACTAGCTTGAACTTTGTGCCTTCCAGTGCCACTTTGTGGTCACGTACCCACTGGATTGACGTGTTCACTTCTGACTCGTATGAACTCAAAACCAAATCCAAATCAGCATCTGGATTTGGAAGTAGGTTGTAGCCATTGAAGTATGGCCCCACCCCAAAGGCATCCATGTCGTTGATTCCTTCACATTGAAGCAGCTGACTCATGGCATCCCAGTTGGAAGCTTGCGTGTTGGCCACGGCGGTGACATTTCGAGAACTGCCAATAACACTCTTCGTGATTTGTGCCATCTCCCCTGACCGCTTGGCGTACCAGCAAAGTTGAGAAAGACCTTCAGCTGCACCTTGCTGTTGAGCCCACTGACCGCCGAAGAATTTGGGATGCCATGCTTCATTGCCCAACTCAATGTATATGCCAAGGTCAGGTCTCAAATTGTCCTTATTGAGTTTGCCAAAGGAAGCAGGAACCATGGACTTGTCCTTTCTAAAGTGAAACCTTAAAGAAACACAATGTACATGTGTTGTGAATATTGGAATAAGACTCTGAGACGTACTGAACAAAATTTTGAATGTAGTCATCGGTCGCATTCACTGGGACGGAAAACCATGGCTCTGCTCCAACTTCATTGGAGAGTCGAACCATATACTCAAGACTGACTCCGGGATGAGAGCCTTGAGTGTAGTAGCTTGGGGTGACTCGATCTTCCCATTCTTCAGGAGTATTGCCACTATTGGCGTGCATCCAATCCATGAAGCGAAGAACTGTGAAGTTTTCAAGACTTGCAAGGAATGCTGGGTGAAAAGGAGATGTCTCATATGTCTCTTCGAAGCCGGGAGTGACAATCCGAATGTTCCTGACGAGTCTCCGAATAACTCTCCCGCTAGATTTGAAAAAGGAACAGAGACGCATTGCTGCCAAAAATGTTTTTTCCTGCTTTTCTTTCTTTCCTTTTTGGCTCACTCTCTTCATCTCTTTTCGCTTGTCCACTCTCAAATTTGCCCAGCCTGACAGGATCGGCTTCATTCGTATCAGTGAGACGAATACCAATGCCATTGTTCAGCCCAGTTGTGAGATTCACGTAGATCTGAATGTGATTCCGAGACATTCGATGTACGCAAGTCACATCCATGCTAAAGTCAAGAATACCTTCTCCATCATAGATAACTGTGTACCATCCACCAACATAGTGCCGCTCAACATCCCGGACCTCAGAAAACCCTGATGGAGCAGCTCCATGAACGAACTCAGTCGTCAAAGTTCATAGCTTGATCATGCTTGATCTATTTGAGCTGATTGGATCTGATTTCTTTGTCCAGAAGCGTTTGGTGAAGTATCAAAACATTGAAGTGCAATGAAAAAGTCGTGGCAACTGTAGAATCTATGCCAAAGAACCGTCAAGAGTGTGGCGACTTGATTCAGTTCCAGGCGAGCAGGATATCCATCACTCCGCAGGTCTAGCTCTGTGCCTTTGGCAACGACCCGAAGGGCACACCTAGAAAGTCACTTGCAATGATGAAACCAGTTGGAGGCCATCTCTACTAGGTTGGAGGCGTCACATTCTTTGTTTAAGAAATTTATCATTGTCGTAGAACTGGGTTCGAAACGCATACATGGTCCCCACAACGGATGCAAAACACAAAGATTCTAAAAAATCCTGTTGAGCTAGCAAATGATTGTAAATAGTCGGAAAGACAGAGACTGAATTCTCAATTTATGCTGAACATGGCAGTATGAATCTAGGCCACACCAATTGGTTGGTGTGTCGGTTTGGATGGTTTAGGTACTTCCATTTGGTCTGAACAGTCGCAGGCCATGAAAACACCGTGATTTGCACTGGGGAAGTTACTAACTGCTTAATCTTTGTTGACCATGCTTCGCTCCAGTCCTGTGTTCCAGTCATAGGATGTCAACTCTTGAGCAATCCACTCGCCGACCTCAGATTGGGCTGGAGCTTGCCCACAAGTTCGCTCTGAGATGCTCTGAGCTTCCACGCGTGCTTGAACACATCCACAAAAATCCACTCCCTGCCGATTCAAAAGTCACCGTAAAATTGCGTCATGTCCGAGTCATGTCCGCCATTCTTGCCTTGTCCAGTAACTCACACCTGAGAGTGACAGGCCAAGTCGTCTGCCGCGATGACATTCAACGGGTGCCAGAATGGAACAATCTGCTCCACTGGCCTTAGTCAACAACTGGGCACATTACCATTAGTATTACTACGAACACCTTAAAAACGAACACCAATTGAAGACAAAGAAAGGTGCACAACCTAATTGGGCTATCACACTTGCTGAAAACAATGTGAACAGCATTCTACATCATTCCACTAGATAGATATTGTATTCAGATAGTCTCCAACTGTGTACTGAGCGGCCCCCTTCCAACACTTGCAGGAGCCTAGCTCGCAAATGCCGTAAATACATCTTTGTGGGCATGAGGGTGCTGGCGGCGATGGCTTTTCAGGTGTAGCGCGACGCCCCTGGACATAGCCCGTCATTGCACGGCGGATGGGGCTATCGTCATCCCAATGAAGCATCACAGAGGCTTGGCCACAAGCCTTTCCTCCTGGCGGGAGGCCATCGCTAGTAGGTTGGAGGCCATCGCTACGTAGGTTAAAAACCACGAGGCCGCCCGTGGGCAATGCTTCCGAGCACGAGAGAGACGGCCGATTGCCCATCCTGTCCGACAAAGTCGGGCTTGTCGCACCATCTGCCCACCTGGTGGGAATGAAGAGCCAATGGGTTTTCAATAGCAAATCCCGACTCTTCGACACAAACGTACAACGTGTTGGTCAACTCGCACCCACAACTGTAGAGAAGCCGATGAGTCGCAATCGCTCTAAGTATTCCAGCATCAAATCCTCCATGACAGGGTCACGGAAGGCTTCAATCCTCATTTTCAGATGCTCTAGTGTCGAAGCACAAAGCAAACTCGTCTGCAACCGCATCTCTTGAAAGAACAGCGTCCAAGTCTCATCATGTTTTCCAACTTCTGCTCACCCTCAGCTGCTGCGATCACTGCAGGAAGGATTTCACGAAGGTCATCCAGAGTGAAGCCTTGGCAGATTGACTTCGTGGTCTGTAACTAGGTTTCAACAGCTTCCACATCCTGGACCGAGCTCCCTTCGCACTTTCCCCATTCCTCCCACTGAACCGCTTGGTCACGCCTTCTGCTGGTGGATCCCATGGCGCGGGGGTGTAAGCAATTTGGCACCTAGCATGAGAAAAACGATTCATGATACTAGTAGCCAGGCCAGCTACTAGCTATTTGCTAGTATGGCCAGCCCCTAGTAGCGTCCTTGCTCCTAGTAGCGATGCCCTTTGCTCCTAGTATCATGATTTATCTTGTAGAACGCTTCACGCGACATTCACTGGAGTATCTAAACGCTCCAAGTCACTTGTGAACACACGAAGCTCGAGCAGCCAAGTCAGCTTCCGCCGCTGTCGCAAAGCCTGCCAAGGTGCACTTCGAGAAGAATGCATTGAATATATCACTTCATCAAGGACTATCTCACGACCATCTCATGCATTCTCAAGCTATATGGTACTCGTTGTCCCCTCTTCTGATTACCACATGTTGTTGTTGTCTTCAAATTCCAAGTTTCTTTCCTTCCGTTTTCCATCAGTCATTGAGGAATTTCTGCATTTGCAACAATTGAGCTGTCTCCTCTTGTCCATTACTATGCTTTCCTTACTTTGCTTTCCCCAGAAGAGTGTTCATTGAATAGTTCCGACTCCTTGTCAGCTTCACCTAGGGGAGCTATGGCAAGTATACTTGGTGTGGAATGCAGCCCTGACAGGGTTCGCCATACCCATCCATACCCCATATTACAAACACATTCGAATTAGTAGATAGAATTAGAACGCCTTTTGGAAACAAAACGCCTTCAACACGTTTGCATCAACAAAACCAAAGTCGCCTGGAATTTCAGCGTCGGCTTTGAAGTAGGAGTCCATCCGTCCCGTTACGCATTGATTGTATGGATCACCAGGGACCGTGAAGGCCGAGCAATGTGTTGGCGGCTTTCGTTCACCAGACTGGATTCGTGTTCTTTTGAAAAAGTACGCAGCTCCAGGTGTGACGCAATCGCCATATCTAAAGTCATTCCCGACCTGAAGTGAGATATTCATGAGGAAGGAGTGAATCAGGTGTCAGAAGTGAATTGCCAACTGAGCTTCTCCGCAGCTCCATTCACCCGATTTGTAGTAAGAAAAGCCGTCACATTCTGACCTTGGTTGGTCTCCCACTCTGAATGACTTAAGAGTACCACGAAATGCGTTTGCGCCTTCAAATGCACTTTCACTGGCTCCCCACACCAATTGGTGTCAAGAATTCAGAACAGGTGCAAGTTTGTCGATTGAAACCATGTTGTTCGATGACATGTTCGACAAGTGTCTTTGATCTAAGTTAAACTCTGTTCGACATCGCTTTTCCAAATAATAACATCCAAACTCCTTGCTGTTCGGATGATTGAACCGCTTTCATTTCGACAAGGCTCATAGCTTGACAATGAGCTTTTGCTTCTGATGGTGATCCGACCAACCAGTAAGAACCTGTGTTTCGTTTCAGTCAGCAGGCTGCTATGGGCACGCAGATGCACGCAGTGGGCAGTGCGAAATGTGTTTGGGTGTGAGCTGAGTGTCCTTGGTCATCGAGTGCACGATCCTCTTCTTGAAGGCCCTGGTATGCCTTGTAGGCTTCGAAGTCCACCTACGTTGCATGCGGTTGCTATTCGGTTGGAGGCCGCTATTCGGGTGTTTGGGTCCGCCTCATGGACCCAACCATCCACAGCCAGCTGGGAGCGCTCCCTGGACAGGACTGACTTCGGTTTTGCGCTTTCTTTACCTTTCATCCTTTGAGACCGATGACCGATTCTTTTCTTTTCTCCTTCTTTTCTAGGCATGGGGTGACGGGTAGTGAAGTTCAAGCTGAAACAAAAGCTTCACAGCACCTTGCACCATAGCGCCGGCCCAAAGCTGACATGAGGCATGACTCACAGCCCAGTGCCCAGTTCAGATTGCCACGGTGCCCATAGCTTCGGGCCTGAACTGACACACATCGAGGAACACAGTGTTCAGAGTCTCATGTCTCATTTGATAGCGCTCTTGCAGAGTCTCTCCTAAGAGAGGGACTGATATGAGTGGCATAGCGTTAAATGCAATAATCCTGGCGCATGACGCACTTTGCTAAGGGGTGAGCTTCCTTGAAGAAGCGCGTAGCTTACCTCCTTGATTAAGAAATATTAAGAAGAATCTTAAAAACTCGTCAAGGGGCTCGAAACCGTAGTACAACGCTTGCTGCACTCTTGCATTAATTTCCTCAGAGAGGAGTGAACTGCAGGATGTGAAAAATCATTCATCTTTGTCTTGGAATTCTTTGGAGATAAATTTTGAAGCTGAAGCCACAGCTGTGTTTCAGCTGCGCTGATTTCAGCTGTGTTGTTGCTGTCCCGGCTGCCACTTCCTGTTTCAGCATGGCGGGTCGGATGACAGCATCAATGAGCTCGAGAGGCGTCAAGCCGCCATACGTACCATTCGCCTCCGTTTTCACAGTCGCGTCAGTGAAAAACCCAATAGCGAAGGCCCCCGACCTAATAGCGTTTCTATTCCTAGTATGGAAGGAAGAACGGGGTTTGGATAAACTGAAATCCTGCCTCCAAGGAGTTGAAATCCACACATGGAGTCTCACCATACTTGCAAACATCTGAGAACCTCGCAAAGCGATTTGCACAAAGCGGTTTAAAATTGCAATCTCGATCAATTGCGGAACACGCAATTCAAGAATTCCTCCCGAGAGGCGATACGTCAATGGCTGCAGCTTCAACGCTTGTCACACTGCTCCCGTAAAGCTTAGTCAGCTGCTGCAAAGCAGACATAACCTTGGTGTCCGATTGTCCGGTCAAATCTGCTTGCTGCTTAAAGACAACGCACAAATGTGAGCACGCCAGGCGAATCTTCTTTGGAGAAAGCGGCATTAACGACCCTGGAAGGGTCAACACCAGCCTGCTCCCAGCTTTTCCACAAAACCAGTGACTGCACAGCATTGTCCTGAGTCACCGAGAACTACCACCGTATCTTTGTAAAAACTTTTGAAACATGCGCTACACGGAGAGTCTCACATCATGTAGATACACTTCATGTCGATGTCGGAACATGTAAAATTGCAATTGAATGCAATAATTGATATATCAATATACTTAAATGATTGTATCCAAGTTCGCAGACTGGACATTCTTCACACTGATACTGGAAATCCGAGATCTTGTTCAACCAGGCTACTGAATCCCAACCAGGAGCCAAGCCGGCTCGGCAGCAAGAGCGGTACTCGACGTAGATTCGGAGATTGCTGTCAAGAGTTTGATTCACCAAGAGCGCCTCAACGTCAACAAGATTTTAGAGGCACTTCTTTCAAAAGGAGAAATAGAGAGGCCAACAAAAAGAGAGGGGAAAAAGGTGCTTTGCAATCTTTTGCCTCTTCACTAAGGGTCCTTATCTCGCTGGCCCTGTGGCCCTCATCCCTTCCTTCGGAATCCATTGGAATCCTTTCGACAGATCTTATTTAGTAAAGAATCTCAAAAAGAGTTGCAGTCTCATCGAATCTTGTCGACAGGTGACGAAGGCCATCGCGTAAGGGTCCACACTGTCGCTCTCTGTCTCAGCTGCCTCGCTACAATGAACACGGTGTTTCAGTCCGCTTATTAAACAGATTTCATGGCATGTATAGGTTGGAGGCCATCGCTCTTCGGTTGGAGGCTATCGCTCTTGGGTTGGAGGCCATCGCTCTTCGGTTGCAGGCTATCGCTCTTGGGTTGGAGGCCATCGCTCTTGAGTTGGAGGCCATCGCTTTTGAATTGGAGGCCATCCCTCTTCGGTTGGAGGACATCCCTCTTCGGTTGGAGGCTATCGCTCTTGGGTTGGAGGCCATCGCTATTAGGTTGGAGGCCATCGCTCTTGGGTTGGAGGCTATCGCTCTTGGGTTGGAGGCTATTGCTCTTGGGTTGGAGGCCATCGCTCTTCGGTTGGAGGCCATCGCTCTTGGGTTGGAGGCTACCGCTCTTCGGTTGGATCCTATCACTCTTGGGTTGGAGGCTATCGCTCTTGGGTTGGAGGCCATCGCTCTTGGGTTGGAGGCCATCACTCTTTGGTTGGAGGCTATCGCTCTTGGGTTGGAGGCCATCGCTAGTAGGCTGGAGGCTATCGGCTATCGCTCTTGGGTTGGAGGCAATCGCACTTTTGGGTTGGAGGTCATCGCTCTTCGGTTGGAGGCTATCGCTCTTGGGTTGGAGGCCATCGCTCTTGGGTTGCAGGCCATCGCTCTTCGGTTGGAGGCCATCGCTCTTGGGTTGGAGGCT